AGGTAATATATGATACGCAGGAGGCTGCTGGAGTGGTTATTGCCTCGCTCCTGCAGACTCGATTAACTGAGTCTGTTCCAACGTGCTGGAATTCCAGCATGTTGGAGCAGCTTCTGCACTTGTGTATAGGCGCCCTCCATTGTGAGGCACTAGAAAAAGGCACATAAGCCTATTTTAGTGTGCATTAGTGAAAGTGGAGTTTTTTTGTGATGCTTTAATGTGTATTAAAATAGGCTAATGCTCCTTAAAGCACACGTGTAGATGCACCCAATCAAAGCAAAGGACAATAAGGTATATAACACAATCATTTTGCAATAAAAAATCATTTCTGTGACTCAATTACTGTAATATTGGATAATGTATAACACATTTCAGTACATGTATCTAAGGTGATTTTTAACAAAACTGAGCCATGTAAAATAGTTTTTTTCTTTCTTCAACTGTGACTGAAAAGAGACTTACTCATGGGAAAGCTATCTACTTCACTAAAAGACAAGTACAAAGATTTTTATGCCGCCTGAGAAGACTATAACAGAAACTGCAACTTGGAGATATAAATCAACCCAAAAAATAAAAAAACAGCATGACAGAGTCTTGGTCCTGAACAAACCCTAATGGACAATGCCTTTAAGAGAAGTTATTAAAACATAGCTCGATTCCGCAAATACGTTGTTATATTGTTTTATATATGTTTTTGCTATGGTTATTTTTCATTAACACAACCAAATAAAGTTAAAAATATTAAACAAACAAATAAAAAAATAATGTTAGTAGTAGTGACTGACGTAACCACATATACAAGTTGTTCTGTAGCTGTTCTATGATAATTATACCTTTTAAATTTTGTTAGATAATTTGTGAAAACAAAGGTACCCCTTCCTTATAGAAGAAGACCATAAAGTAGGAGATTAGACAAGAGAAGAGTAATAAATGACATTCCAAAAATATTGAAGGAAGGAAATAAGAAATCCCCCTTCTAAAAATTGTGATTTTCACAAGTACACAAATCCCAGCTGTTTGGCATATTCTAGGGCCATGGAACAATTGGTTCAGTCTCATTCCCAGAGTCTCAGTAAAACAGGAATTAAATGAAATCCATCAGGCAAAGTTTGTTAAGAGTCAGCTATATATAAATATCGGAGATGGACTGCAAGGAAAATTAAATCAGAGAATGCAGTAGATACAAGACAATCTGCTTCCAGTCTGCATGCCATCCTCCTCCTGCTTCCTGAGTCTCTCCAGGCAGCAAAAATGAGAATCTATATTGTGCTGTTGCAGATAGCCAGGCACATATTCGCATGGCTTGGGCTTTGGAGATGTAAACAGAAAAGTTTGGGCTGTAGAGCTTGCTCAATCTCTCTTCTTTTATCCAAGGCTACCTCTAATCCAGGTAACAGTTGGGCTACATTAAAATACATCTGGGGTCAAAACTGCCATTGTCCTCTCATCGGGCAGAGTCTATAGGCCACCTATAAACGTGCCGGGTGTCTGCTTTGACGCATATTACTTAGCACGTTCCAGCAGCCTCAGCATTATGTATATTAAGTGTCCCTGCGCTTGAAAAGGGAGGCAGGGGTGCTTTAACAAGCTTTAAAGTGCCCCCACTGTCATTTTGAAGCACGGGACACTGAATACACGTGATGCTGTGGGCGCTTTAATTTAAGTGGCTCTCAGAGCTGCTCTAATTAAACCTGCACCCTGCACCCTGGAGCATGTGTAAAAATGCCTATCACACAAGCTTAATAACTTCTCATTGTCATCCGTGATCTGGTGAAGAGAAGTCCACCCGGAGGACAACTAGCAAAACAGCATATTTCAATTATATTCCCAGTGATATGCTTAGGCTGCCAAGATCAGAACTGCATGGACTGATCTTTACTTCCTGCTCTAGCACTGCTATATATTGTTTAATCATTTATTACCTTTCATGCTAGATATGACTGCATAACAGTAGGAGTTCAAAGATTAATGGGTCAAGATCCTGCAAAGGGTGGGTGGGAGGAAGAGAAAAGCATGAGGAGCCTTTTCTACTATTCCACACAAAATTCAACAGAAGGGAGATACTGCCCCTATTAATGCCCCACAACTCTCCAACTGTTTGAGTCACTTCCTGGGCCACATACCAATACTTTTGGGGAGGGGGTCCAACCGTTAGGGAAAACAGAGGCAAGCTGTTACCTCAGATTAATCTACTTTAGAGTAGTATAGCTGTAAATAATATTCCAGTCAACTTGATATGCCAGAGAGAAGAAAGATCAAATTGTGGATAGTATGCTGCATAGTCATCAGCATCTGACACATACAATGTATACTGCTTAGACAAACTTTATTGCTAAAATAGACCTAAACCAGAACAATCCCTTCCTTTTACACTTAAACAGCTACATCTGGTATATATCTGAACATTTTGGACAGAATTCTATTTCCTTTTGTGCACCAAAATGGAAGTCTTCTAGCTATGCAAATGGTCCTTTGGCACCTATCCACAGACTGCAATTCTATTACCCCAACATGCTGGACATAAGTGTGCACACATACACCGAGCATATAGAGTAGGCTACATACTGGCTGGACCCATGTGTGTGAACATAAGTCCAGGAAAAAGCAGGGAAGGAGGACGACCCTCCCAAGTTTTGGCCCCAGTAATCAAGTGACTAAGGCACTTGACCAGAAGCAGGAAACCCAGGTTCTAGGCTGCCCTTACTCAGAGGGGGTTTACACCTACGTCTTTGATTTCCTAGCACAATACTGTAGCCACCACACCACAGGTTAGGCATTAACTAGCCCTGCCCCTTGCATTTAATAGTCATCAGTCTCAGTACATTAGACATGTACACTTACACACCCACAGGACAAACAGAGGAAGGGGACAAAAATATAGAAATACATATACATCGCAGAGGAAGGGATGAAAACTATCCAGGCATGCAGCTAGATAACTGCCATTTTTCTTCCTTTCTCTCTCTCTCTCTCTCTTTCCCCACTACTTTATTTTCTCTTTTTCCCCTTTATTGCTTATTGTTTGTGACAGACATATGTATTTTTGATTTTTGTGTCGCATTTTAAAAATCTATTAGAAAGAAAACTGGTACACAAAGGGGAAGAGAATTCCACCCTACATGTACAATTACAGACAGGGTAGTGTGGCAGCCAGTGAATACAAAATAACTCATCTTATTTAATAGCTTTACTTAGAGACAGTGGTCCAGGGTGATACAGCTTTAAGGCATTGTTGTGTAGACTGATGTAGTAATTGTACCACCATCACAGGATACAGATATAAGCTGTTACTATGCAACTGTTATGTCTGCATGATTCTGTAACCCTATAAATCAGAGGCAGGCAATTATTTCGGGCAGAGGGCTGCTTACCAAGTTTTAGCAAGCTGTCAAGGGCCGTGTGACAGGTGCCACGCCCCCTGGTCACCATCTTGTGACCAGAAGTCCCGCCCCCTAGCCCCTGAACTATGCCACCAGAAGTCCCTCCCCTTGCCCCCGGGGAAGTCAGCATGGGGTTTTGCCATTTCGGAAACAGAAAAATAACAAATTTTATTCTAAACAGCAAACATCTACAATATTCGCTAATTTGATTTCAAAAAATATTTTTCTCCTGATTTACATGCGCTTGTGTAGTGTACATAGAGGGGATTGCACAATAGCTTAAAATGAAGTCTTACTCTTGTATGCTGTGGGGGGGGTGGATATAAAGCAGGGCCATCACTAGGGTGGGGCGAATCGGGGCAACCGCAGCTTCTTCAGGTCCAGGGCTCATGGGATTGAAGTGGGGGCGGGGCCCCACATGGGCTGATTTACCCCAGGCCCCACACCCTGCTCGGGTCACCTCTGGGTATAGGTTTGTGGGTGTCTGTGGGGGAGGATGTGGGTGTGTCTTTCACAGGTGGATAGGGGTGGAGGTGGAGTGAGGGAGCATGTGGGGAGGTGTGTGTGGATATCTGGGGCGTGGGTGGGTATGGGGTTTGTGGGGGGCATGGGGGGAGGGTGACTGGAGAGTGTGAGGAGGTGTGCGGGTCTGCATGTAGGGCAGTGCAAGGGGGGGTGTGCATATGTATGGTGAGGTGTGCATGTGAGACTCACCCAACAAATACACACACACACTCTGCCCCTCCCTACACACATACACCCCGGGGTACCGGTGCGACCCCATGTTCCCCGGTCTGGTGATCCAGCCAGGAGCCATGTGATGCTGGAGCAGTGTGGGGGCAGGAACGCAGGGAAATGGCGGAGGGTGGGGCAGAGCTGGACTGCTCAGTCCTGGTGCTGGCTCCCCCTGGGTCCTACTGCCCCTGGCACCCATCATCTTTGACAGGCACCCAGGAGCAAAAAAATGTCAATTTACTAAACTTTTTAGGGGCCCTGCCAGGTGGACAGAATGGCCTGGTTGGCTAGAAACGGCCCATGGGCCGTATTTTGCCTGCCCCTGCTATAAGTGTAACAAAACAATTCCATCTCAACCCTTCTTCATCCAGGGTTAACTTTAGAGTGATTTAACTCATCTGAATCTCTACAGGCTCAGGCAGACATAGCAATTATAGAGTAACAGTTGCTGCTCACTCATAAGCAAGAACTCCCCCTACCCATCTGTACCCAAATGCCCATTTGTCCAAATACTCTATATTGCTGTCAGGGCAGGGTTTTCTGTTTTGACAGGGGTTGCCAACATTTTCCTTCCTATAACTCCACAATGCATTCACTCAACTACTTTTCACAGGATATGACCAAAATCCTTTGCATCAATGCCTGGAAAATATATGGATTTGATGGTTCAAGCATCAAAAGATGAAAACATGTGAAGTGGGTATTTGCAGAGATAGGGAAGAAGAGCAGATAACCATTTTCAAGACCATGACACAAGACTCAGATCCGTTGCACTAGCAAAGCCCAATCAATTGTGTGAATTAAAAATAAATAAATAAATAGGAATCCATCAGTACCCCAAAACATCCACATTTCTGTGAAACTGATCTCCAAGGGATGACTCGCCTCATTTCCATGTGCCAACGCTGTTCTTCCTCTCTGTGTCTCTTTATCAGATCCTTCTGTTTTTGTTTCTTCATCTTTTCCTCATGCATTTTCCGAGCTCTGTTACTAGGCTTGATCTCAACTGGAAGATCTGGATTCACTTTCTTCTACAAGGAAGTCATAATAAAAATCATAAGGATTTTCTAAAGTGCTATCACAAACTAGTAAGAATAATAAAATAACATTTTGTTATTGTATTCTCATAATTAAAGTATTACTAATAAACCTGACTTTTCAATGTGCGTTTCTGGCTGCTGTTAAAGATGACCCGTATTAAAAACCAAGCGTTTAAATCTGATCTGTTTACAAGAAGGAACAAACAAACTCTAGACTGATGCTGGGAGAAGTGCAAGTTGTACTTTTACAATACTGTGGCTGTCACTACACGAGACACTGACTGTGCAATTGCTACTGCACAATCATTTAGTACTTGCATATACAAGTACTAAATGACTGCAGCAGGGCTGTATGAAGCTTCGGATGGCGATTTGATTCAGAGGAAATTCGGTGGCCGAATCTCCGAATATGAATCGAACCAGGGGACCAATTAAAAGGTCTGAATCGATTCAAAATTCTCCGAATCTTCGGAAAAGATTCGGAGAGCTTTGATGATTCGGGCAGTCCCTGGTGGCTGCAGCTGGAGTCCAAGCTGATAAGGGGGGGGAGGGAGAGGGGGGTACGACCATGGGGGGACCCCTGCGAGCCCCCAGCCCCTGCCTGCTCCCCCAGCTGCCCCCGACCCCTGCCTGCTCCCCCAGCCCCACATGGTTGCACCACCTGCCCCCTCCTGGCCCTTTAAAGAAAAGCTCCACACTAACTGGGTGCTGCCGGGCGGGGGGCCAATCTCTGCTGCCCCCACTGCCCCATGCTGCGTGGGGGGCTCTGCACAAGCCCCCCCGACTCCCCTCCATGGGTGCCCTGCCCAGGCCGGCTCCGGCCCTTTAAGGAAAAAAAAAAACCCAAGAAAAGCCCCAGGACTCACCACTCCTGCAGTGGCCTTGGGGCGTTCGTACAGAGCCCCCTACATGGCGCAGGGCAGTAGGGATTGCCCCCTGCGGGCAGGAGCGGTGTCTGGGGTTTTCTCGGGGTTTTTTTTTTCTTAAAGGGCCGGAGATGGCCCAGGCAGGGCACCTGTGTGTGGGGGGGGGGATGACGGGGGCTGGGGAAGCAGGGACTGGGCTGGGGGCTCATGCAGAGCTCCCACATAGCATGGGGCAGCGGGGATTGCCCCTCCCCCCCGGCAGCACCCACTGAGTCCAGGCTTTTTTTTTTTTTTTAAACAAGTGCCGGAAGCTGGCACAGGCAGGGCACCCATTGCCGGGCTGGGGAGGGATGGGCCTGGCTGACTCAGAGATTCGGCAGCAGCCAAATCTCCAAATCAGATTTGGCCGAATCGATTTGGGACAGTGATATGAATCACCAAATCGAATCACTGTCCCCTGAATCAGACGAATCTGAAGCAAACAGGCCTACTGTGCAGTAACCAGCGTTATTGTGTAGTAGCATCCCTGAACAGCTTCTTGGTGACACTTACTGCGCAGTAGCATCGCATCATGCTTTCTGCCATGCGACACTACAGCGTAGTAATAACGAGCTACTACACAGAAGTTATGAGCTACTGCACAGTCGGCGTCTCATGCAGATGTGGGACACTGTGTTATGATTCTTTAAGTAGTCCTTTAGCTAAATTGGCATAAGCAGTCGCAGTATAAAATTAACCTTCCCTCTGCTCGTCCCCCATCCCTCAGGGAATTTAAGTCTTAAACTGTGGAGAGACATAATTAATTTGATACTGAATGATTCCAATATATGCTGTTATGATGTAATGGTTATTTCTTCCTCCTCCTACAGCTACATAAATGTAACAAAATCATCCTCACTTTAACTAGGTTGCATTTAGGTTACAGTAACAGTGATTTAGCTCATTTATATAAGAGCATGTAGATGTATCAGTTTTTGGGTTTTTTTATAACAGTTGATGTGTTCTCCTCAGCAGAAACACCCTCTCCCATTTTAAAGGGATTTAACATCCACAGCTTTGTAAGCTATTCTAGATCCTAGTCAGACCAGTTGTGGAAGAGAGGAGGAAGTACCCACAACTTCCGCTAAAATTAAAAAGGGGATTGTATTAGGCACCTCTAAGTGATCAGACTCAGAGCCGGCCTTAGGGGTATGCAACGTGGGCAACTGCCCAGGGCAAGCTGGTCAGAGGGGTGTCCCCCACACACACACACCCCCGAGCAGCCCACACTCACAGCAGCACTCTCCCCTTAGCCCCAGGCACGAGGAGCAATACCCAGCTCAGTCCCCTCCCTCCCGCCCCCTCCAGCTGCTGCTCAGGAGGAGCCATGCTGGGCAGTTCAGGCAGGAGCACCATGCCATTCCATTTCTTTGCCAGACTGTGCTCCACACCCCTGCCCGCTTACCTCTGCCTGCAGCAGTGCCATTGACTTGGGAGGGTACAGGGGGAGGGGGAGAGGCCAAAATAGAAGTTCGCCCAGGATGCCATTTTTCCTAAGGCTGGCTCTGATCAGACTCAATGAGTGTGTCTACATGTGCTACAAGCATGGAGCAATAAACTCTGGTGCATATTGTGCTGGAGATTATTGTTTACGTGTGCGCCCAGAACTGCAGCAGGGTGAGCTGGATTGGAGTAGCCCCAGCTGGCAGGAGGCCGGGGGTGGGGGGTCAGCCTGCTAGCCTGGGGCTCTTCCAGTGCATGACTAGCTAGCAGGCAGCCTCCGTACTGAAGCACCCCCCATGCCCCAGTCAGCCCCGTCAACATCTACATATGCATTGCTGTACACTAAATAATGTTGCCATATGATAGCAGTTGCATTTACAAGTACTACCCTACAGCAGAGTTAATTAGTTTACTATGGCCTAATAGGGCCACAAGTGTAGCCGCTGAGACTTTACTGCAGAGTTAGTTAGGCAGTTCCTCAGTAAACATCTCACATAGATGCACCCAATGTGACCTAAGTGAGGAACCCAGAACAGAGGTGTCCAAGTTTGAAAATATGGGACCAACTATCTACCATCACATAAATCCAAACTCTAAAGTAAAAGTGCCTCAATGGTGATATTCAAAGACCTAATACAAGGATGATTTTAAATATTTGGGAAAGTTTGAAAATAATTTTGCTAGTTTGACTAATATTAATGGAACTTCATTTAAATGAGGAATTCCCTTATGAAAATGGGATGTAAGATAAGAATACTTTATTTGCTACTGCTCCTCCTCTAGCTAAATATCAGTGACGAGCTATGGCGATGTGACTTGTTGCTATGGCAATGTCACGTTGGCATGCACTAATCGTGATGCTGCTGCTACATTGCCATTGCAACGAGCTACTCCACAGTAGCTCATTGCTACTGTGATATAGGGTTGGAAACAACCTGTGCGCTGCTGGGACAGGACTGCACAGTACTGGTAGGTACCGCACAGTCATTTAGTACTTGCTAAAGCAAGTATCAAATGACTGTGCAGTGCCAACTGCGTAGTCAGGGGCACATGTAGATGTGCCCAGTGTTCTTTGTGACACTACTGCAGCAACCATATGTTGGTGATGTTACATGTGGCTACCATGGAGATGATGCTACAAATAAAAGTAGCAAAAACATGCGAGCACTTAGCAAACAAGGCTCATGTTCTTAGACAAAGTGCCTTCCCAGGTAAAAAGCACATGCACGATTATTTTCAATCAGAATATTTTTCTTATTACAGAAATGTTTAAAGTCTTTATATATCTTGCTATTAATGAATGGAAATTAGCAATTTGCTTTTATTATTTTTTTAACAAGGCATAATATTTTAATTGTGTAGGTTTGAGACTATTGCTGAACATAAAGAATGGTTAATTAATTCTTGACTTGAAAAGGATATGACTTCTACATACATTATTTCTGTGCATTAGAAAGGACAAGTTATGGTCATAATGATTTTTAAGGTGCTGCACTTGCTTTCAAGATAGAAACTGGAGCAGACCCCAGATGGACAATTATAGTCCTCCAGCAGTTGATGAGTAGCCAAATCTATCATCCTAATGAGACAATACAAATGAAATGCCTGATGCAAGATGACCTACTGAGGAAATGTAAGAAAAATCCATTTTCTTTTGCCTTTCTATCTTAGATCTAGTTAGATCTAGACCTTTGCCACCATTGGGTACTGTAATGTAAAGCATTTTTTATGATCAGAAACTGCTGTGCATTCACTCAAGAAACTCCCAAATAGTTCTTTATTCATCACTTATAAATGCAATTTTGAGTCAGTCACTGCAAGAGTTAAAACTGACCAGATAAATTCTTCTAAGGGAAGAAACTTAGAAGTACTAAATACCGTAAGTCTATAAACAGGGACTGTATTCATTGGTATTTGAATCTCCAGATTAAAAATGGGCTTGATGGACTAGTTTTTTTGTTTTGTTTTGTTTTTTTGATCTACACAGTACCTTGGACTTTTCATAATAATTTCAATACTTTTGTTTCCAAACCAACAACATTTGCATCCCAGTGACATCCACTAACTCAAAGCTAATTATTTCTCTAACACTGCCCCATAAAGTTTAATACTTGTGTGTGATAATGCAGGATAGGTAAGTGCACAAGACAGGTAAGTGAAGGTGGATCCCTTCCTATAGATGCTCCACTTCATAAAATACTACTCAAGTTCACCATCTAGTGGTCACTTGAAACTTTAAAGAATGGCGGAACTCAGAGTAGAGGTGCACCTTATAGACTAACTGAATCAGAGATGTGCAAGTGAGCTGTTGCTCACAAAAGTTTATGTATTCTGATTCAGTTAGTCAATAAGGTGCACCTCTACTCTGCCTTCTGCCTGACATCAGACTAATATGGCTAACTTCCTCTCAACTTCAAGAATGTAAAACAAGTCACTGAGGTTTTGGAACAGAAGACACTAATTACCATAAAATCAGCATTACCAAAAGCTAAGCTTTTTTGTGACAATAATTTTGGAAAGAACAGTGTCAGCAATGAACTGTATATGAGAAAATCTGACTCAGTCCCATAGCATTCACAATAAACCAAAAGAGGTCAAAACTCTTAAGGTACATTTACGTTTGATTCAGTATCTAAAGGAATATGGTGTATTTGGACGTGCTTTTACATGCGCCTAAATTTAATGCGCATTAGCCTAATGTGCATTAAGGTGATTTAGGTCTGCGTTTACACGTGTACATGCTAAGACGCATTAATGCGGTGTGCGGACCAATTTGGGACTAAAGTTAGTCCCAAGTCAGTCGACATACACAGCGTCTACATGTGTGTTAAGGCGCTTTAGCTATCTGCGCATAAAATTTAGGCGTGAATAGCCTAAAATTGCCATTTTTAAGGCGTGTTAAGGGTGCACATGTGGACCCGCATCCTTAATGCACTTTAAAAATGGCTAACACACCTTAAATTGGTATGTGTAGACACGCCCTGTGGGTCTGAGTAGAATGAAAATTTTCTCTTTCCACAATGATTGATTGGATTCTTCTGGATTTGGTTTAAAATAATGGGAAATCACTGCCTTGGCCATAACATCAAGTTTATACTTTTACTAAAGAATGATGAAGAAACTTGGGGGAACAACTCATTTAGAAAACCTGTTGGAATGACCAATCATAGAAAACTATAACTATGCTTGTCATTTAAAATTATGTAAGTAAATAACTGGTAAAGAAATTCAGCACTTGGCTCCAGAAAAAATATCTTTAGCTATTGATCTTAAAGCTGTCTCTAGTAATCGTAGGATCATTCCTCTCCTGCCTGGAAGAGAGTATCACTATGTTCCTTCATATAAACCAAACACACATACAAGATTTATTTAGCTATTAACTGAACAGCTTTGAATTAGTGCTTAGAAATTCCAAACTGTGGGCCACACATTCAAGCTTTCTGAACTGAGATTTTTTTGTAAAAAGATGTCTCTAGCTGATCATCTCCCTTTGGCTGCCAACCCAAAATATTTTTACTGACAATCTGAAAACTTTTTACTGACATCAAAACTTTTTTACTGACATATGTTTTACATAATGTAAATGTAACCCTTCTGCCAGGCCCTGGATGGCTGTAACAGGGATCAGGTTCAAATGTGGGAGTTTAACACCAACTTTCTAAATTGGGCTTGAGCCTCCGCCCAGAAACCTGTGAAAATAAATTTTAAGTGAGTGTTGTGCTGTAAACAAACTTGCCCACTCACAAGCATCTAAACAGGGCTTATTACAGGGGAAAAGGAAAAGACACATGTTGTTAGAGAAAACTTAACCAGCAAACATTAAATGAAACACAAACCATTAATAGTCTTAGTTATACTTGACTGCAGCAAATGGCTTTACACTATGCTGCCCCTGCTCAAAGGGTCCTGAAATCATTCCTACACCCTGACACCCCAGCCACACCTTGTACCATCCTGCCTCCAGCCCAGCCCAGCCCTCAACCTTGACTTATCCCACTCCCTTTTACTTCTTATAGAATATGAGATATTCTATAATCAGGAAAAAATAATTAAGCATGTACTTTTTATCTTGGATTCTATCTGAGAAGTTAAGATTAAAACATCTGCTGGCCAATGTTCCTATGACTCAGTATTGTGAGTCTGCCCCATTCACACCTTGTATTGCAGTCGATGTCTACGCCCCTTTAAATGCATGTCCTTTGCATTAGGATCATTGAAACTGCATTCACAGAGCTTGCAGTGAAACCGGATCATTTTGCCTTCATCATTTTGTACCTGAGAAACAAATTATAACATTTAATTTTTATAGACACTGCTTGTGACAATAACATTATTTTCCATTTAAGAGGAGGCTTTCATTCCAAAGTACTTAACGAAGTGATAAAATACCAAGTATACCAACTTATCATCCAAAGGCTCTGTGGGGTGTGGCTTAAGGCAGGGGCAGGCAATTATTTCATGTGGAGGGCTGCTTACCGAATTTTGGCAAGTTGTCGAGGGCTGTGTGGGAGGCCCCACTCCTTGACAAGTGCCCCGCCCCCTGGTTGCCATCTTGGGACTGGAAGTCCCATCACTAGCCCCTGACACCTTTGCCACCAGAAGTCCCTCCCCTTGCCCCCACAGAAGTACTCCTTTCAGTAAGGGTTTGCCATCTTGGAATGAGAAAATACCAAATTATATTCTAAAAATCAAACATTTACTACATTAATTTGATTTCAAAAAATATTTTTATCCTGGTTTACATGTGTTAGTGTAGTGTACACAGAGGTAATTGTACAATAGCTTAAAATGAAGACTTAGTCTTGTATATTGTAGAGGGGTGTGTGTGGGTGGGTATAGGTTTGTGGGTGTGTGGGAATATGGAGCATGGGGGAGGATGAGTGTGTGGGGGGTTTGTGGGAGGTGTGGGTGTGTGTGTATGTGGGGTGGGGGAGCATGTGGGTGTATGTGTGGATATGTGGTGTGGGTGAGTGTGGGGTTTGTGGGGGGCTGTGAGTGTGGGGGAGAGGGTGGCTGGGGAGGGTTGCGGCATGTGTAGAAGGGGAGGATTTGCCAACAGCCCTCCCATGGCAGCCAGAGCCCACCCGGTGGTCCTCTAAGCTCAGGCTCTGTGCTCCTGCTGCTCCTGGCCCCAGAACACTGGCGTGACCCCGTGCTTCCAATTGTGTCCACTTCCCCCCATCTACCACCACTGCCCTTCTGTCGCTTCCCTGTTCCCCCCCACCTCACTGCAGGGGGAAGTGGCAGCAAGCAGGCACACAGACAGCAGCAACAGCTGGGCAGAAGCACGGGGCCCAGCACAAACTCCGCACTCCCACCCATCTGTCGCTGCACTCCACATGCCCACTTGCTGCCCCTTCCCCCCGCCTGCTGCCGCTTTCACAGCTTCCCTGCCTACGGCTGCTGTTGCTCCTCTCCCCCCCGCCACTGGCTGCCCTGGCACCACGTGCTCCTGGCTGCAGCGCCTGGACTGTAGCAACTGGCTGAGCCCAACCCTGAGGACTGGGGTGATCACCTGCAGTCCTTCCCTTCTTATCTGAATTTCCCTCTGGCACAGGGAATCAGGAACAGCCCCAGAGGCCCAGGCCAGAAGCCTCTGCTCCGCATGGGGCTTCTGGCTGGAAGGGGTGGGGGCCACCAGGCAAGGGCCACCAGGCCTTGCTTCTGCAGTTGCTTAGTCCTGACAGCTGCTTCCCCTGGGTCCTACTGCCCCTGGCTTCTGTCAACTTTGATAGGCAGCCTGGGGCAGATATATTTTCTTCCAATATTCTTCCACCATTGCCAGTTTGTCCAGTCAATCACTACGGTATGGCCATCCATGCCTGACTTAACCCCTAGACTTGGGCACTTGGACCCACAATTGGCTGGGTCCCCATAAAGCAACCCAGTAAAACTACAGAAAATCACCTGTTATTTTTTCAGGGCTGTCACTTGCCAGCCACAGCTGGCCATGAGAACCCATACAACAATTCCTGTCCTCAACATTAGCAAGGTACTGCTTTTATTTGCCAATGCCAGCAATCTCAGTCAGTGCTGCTGGACAGAGGGGAAAGAAATCAGGAGAGGGAAACCATGCTCACCAACAGATCAGGAACATCCCTTCATAGCCAAAACTCCAGCAACAATCACTTCAGTGGTTGAAAGCAGGGGAAACCTTCCTGGAAACACAGAGCCTAGGGAAGTGATTCTCAGCCAGGGTGCTATGGCACCCTAGGGTGCCTTGACATCGTTCGTTTCAAGAGTGCCACAGATGCCACACAATGTTAGCAACGTTAGGCGTGCAAACATAATTCACAAGATAAAACCAGAGGGTACCTATAATACATGCTGGACGTTTGCTCCAAAGCGTGCTAACTAGCATGTGTCAGAGCAGACTCGATTAGTTGAGTCTGCTGAAGCATGCTAATTAGCATGCTCCAGCAGCCTCCACATCATGTGTATTCAGCATCCTCATGCTCCAAAATGGCAGCAGGTGTGCTTGAACTCAAGCTTGTTTAACGAGCTTTAGTTCAAACATCCCTGCTGCCATTTTGAAGCATGGGATACTGAATACACGTGATACTGTGGGTGCTTTAATTAGAATGGCTCTTGGAGCTGCTGTAATTAAAGCACCCTCCACCCCTACCCCAGAGCACATGTATAGATGCCCAGAAATTTCAAGCAGGAATCCACAGTGTCAAAAACCTTCTGACCTGTCATGGCTTTTCTGAATTCTTAGCCACAGAAGAACTGCTCTATTATTTTTCTATACTCAGAAGGCAAGTGAAATTTAAGAGCATTTTCTGAAGGATGCCTTGAATCTAGAAAGGCTAGAACCACTGTCTAGGCTCAATTTCACACAGCACACTGCACAAAAGTTCAGGATGCAGGAAATGCTGCCAACATAGCCTTCCCTCCCAATCCCCCTACACTTTTTCCATCGCTGGAATCAGACAACAGGGGAAGCAGTGGTCTCCACTAGGGAAAGGAGAGGTTTGTTTCTTTCTCAGTGCAAGCCAAATTCCTGAAGACTGTTCTTCCAGAGATGTCTTCCCAGGCAGAATGGTTTTAAATGTCTCCGGAGTAGTTTCTTGACTGAAGGGCACAGTAAGAAGATGCTAGCTGCCTTGTGGTGTCACTGGAACAGAGGGCTATTACTGCTGCTGCTGTTGCTGCTGCGTGAAGGGGTAGACTGAATTTCACTAAGGCTAGTGCACTAACTTGGTGAGGCCAGACACCTTGCATGACAAACCCCATGTCTATGTTCCAGGCTGAAAGGAAATGCTAAGGCCATCAGGGAGGCAGGGGACATGGTCAGACAGATTAGGAAGAGAACAGCAGTTTGTCTGGGCAGGGGGGAGGAGAAAAAAAGGAGAAGGATCTTGTTCCTGGCTCCTGGAAGGTGAGTGAGTGCAGTGAGCTTGGTCTGCTGGTTTGACTGTGGTGGAGATAGTGTGCGTTGAGTGAGCGTTCATTTAATTGGCTAGTCAGTTTGTTGGCTGGGCCTCATGCATGGAGTATTTGGTGAGGGCTGTTTGCTGAGCAGTTTCTGGAGGAGGAATTCCTGCCTGTGCCCTAATGAGGGGGTGTTAATGAGCTTGCCTAGGATTAGGAGAGCATGAAAGGTAGCACCCAAATGAACAGCAGGAGCAAGAGAAGATGGGACAGCAAACAGGGTAGTTTGAAAGACAAAATAGTTTGCAAAAGGTAACTGGGGGCATTTATAGACGTGCTCTGGGAGGCAGGGGGAAGCAGGGGGCACTTTAGCATAGCTCTGAGAGCCGTGTTAATTAAAAACGCCCAGAGCATCACATGTATCAGCATCCCCGCACTGAAAAATGGTGGCAGGGTGCTTTGAATTAAAGCTCATCGAACAACTTTTAGTTTAAAGTGCCCCACCACCATTTTTCAGCGCGGGAACACTGATATACGTGACGCTGGAGTTCGGTAATTACCACACTCCTCTCTGATGTGCTGTAGTTACAGCATGTCAGAGCAGAATCCCTGCATGCGTACAGGAGTCCTGGGAGTCTTCCCTAGGCAAGCTAAATGGTTTGGCCACAGGTAACACCCAATAAGGATTAACTCATATCTTGCATGTCATTATTGCAGTAAAACATAGTCTTAACTTTTATCCTTATCTGGAACTCAGGACTTGAGTGAATTAAACAACTTTAAGTTCCCTTATAACGAACAAAACAAGTTGCTTAATCTAAAATTTAGATTGTAAATCTCCTGTTAGATTCTACTTGAATCTAATTTAAAATTAACACCAACCAGTTAACAAGATACAATTAAACAGTATAACAACTAGGGCTGTGTGAAATTTCGCTGGCTGTTTCGATTTGACACTGTTTCGACTCATTTCGAACTCAAAACAGTGAAATCAAATCGAAACAATGGGCTTCGAAACAGCCTCAAAACAGAACGAGGCTAGTTGAAATGCTTTGAGTCTTTTGAAACATTCTGAGTCTTTTGAAAAGCTTTGAGTTTCAAAGCAGCCAGCAGCAAGGTGGTGGGAGACAGGGGAGAACCAGGGCTGTGCTCCCAGCAGCAGCCGGGAGTGCAGCTCTGGCTCTCCACATCTCCTGCCCCCAGGCTGCGGGAAGCCGATCACAGCACAGGGGAAGGGAACTGAGCTCAGGCTCAGTTCCCCTCCCAAGCGCTGCGATCAGGCTGGGGAAAGGAACTGAGCCCGATTGCTCAGTTCCCCTCCCCAGCCCTACGATCGGGCTGAGGTTGGGAACCCAGCCCAGTTGGGCTGAATTCATTTCCCCAGCCCGATTGTAAGGATGGCGTTGGAAAGTCGCCCAGCTGGACTGAGTTCCTTTCCCCAGCGTGATGGTCGTGCTGAAAAAATGAACTCAGCCCATCTGAGTGAGGTGAAGCCCAGGGAGTGAAGAGGTGCCCTGGTAGAGGTGCAGTGGTATTGCTGGGCATAATCCAGAGGCACAGGTAGGATTCTCAAGTGATAAACTGGGAAAGCCTGTTGCGCAGAGGGGGACATCCAGAGTGTTGCTGAGGATAGCCCCTGGGCTGAGTACGGTTTTGTGGGTCTGCTACTGGTAACCTTAACCCTGGTGGGATCATGGTGGAGCCTGCTGCTGGTATCCATGGCTCAGAGGCTGTGCTGCTGTGAGCTGGAGAAGATAACTGTTCCCATGGTACACTGGAGAGGGCAATTGGGCAAGATAAGCCTGCCCTGATAAGGCCTGATCCACACTAAAGGACATACTCTTGACTATGATGACCTGCTGGCAGAGGGTGCCGCAAGTACCCTTGCCCATGCTGTGGGTATTAGTGGCTTAGGCCTGGGGGTAGGTATAGCTGAGGCTGCAGGTGAAAGACTTGATGGGGACAACATGGAGAGCACTCTTTATGTTGTCTTTCTGCCTGGTGATGGTAGCTTCAGCAGTTTGCTGGGATCTCTTTCCACCTTGAGGGGTCTCCATGAGCATAAGAACTGACATTTACTGGGTCAGACCATAAATTTGTCAAGCCCAGTGTCCCGTTGCACACAGTGGCCAAAAGCAGATGCTGAGGGGGAGGGTGAATAAGGCATGTCCAGTATTTTCTGCTCCCTACTCCTTAGCAGCTCTGGAGTTGCCAGAATGGAGCTGGGACTGTGCTACTATGTCCCTGTAGGTCTTATCCAAATACCTCTTTAACCCTCTCAGCTGCTCCAGTTCAGCTACTCCCATCTGTAAGAACCCTGAGCAACAGGAGAACTTTGCACTGCATGCAGATGTATGCTACCTCTCCTCTGGGAAGGTAACTGTACATATGGTACTTGGTGCAATAAACTGGGTATCCCCCATATCTCTGCTGGACTGCTCCCTGCATTGTAACTATTTTGAAGGTTGTGTTTTTTTTGAAGGGTTAGTGTTGGGAGTGGTTGTTATTAGGGCTGTGTGAAATGGCACTGTTCTGCTTCAACTTCAGTTTCGAGGTTTGCATGGAACAGTGTTTTGTTTTGAATTTCATTTTGAGTCGAAACAGCTGTTCTACGCTGCCATCCATTCTGCCTTCTGGTCCCCAAGTTCCTATGCTCAGAGATTCCCTGTCTTCACAGCAGGTTTGAGACTGGGGTTCAAACCTACAGGCATGGGTGCAGTCCCAACCACAGCCTAGCTATGCCTTTTCACAGCTGTTCTGTGCCCACACCCCACTCCTTCTTCACAGCCCTTATTCCCACTCTGCCTCCAGTCCCAAGCCCCTGTCTCCCCTAGAGCCTAGAGCAGATCCCCTCCACCTCCAATTCTGGGCCAGTTCTCATCTGGTGAAGGGTAGCACCCTGGGACTCAAGCACCATTGATCTACTGGGTCAACGTGTAGGTATGCTGCCACACCACTGCACCCTGAAGGAAGGCCCTCCCGCCCTTGGGCACCCTTTGAGCAGGCCTTGGTTCTGATGGGCCACAGTTGCACTGTGCAACATCCCCTCCCCCAGACCTTCCCAACCCCCACTGACACAGCACCCTCAATTCTCATGTCCAGTTCACAGAGCTCTTGTTCTAAGTTCAACAAAGAAAGCATGGGAACTTTTAACTGTTTGAGCTGTTTAATAACAGTTCCAAGTGAGAATTCCTGGTGATTGTTGAGCCCCAGGGGCTCAGCCTTCAGTGGTGCATAGCAGCCCCTAGGTTGCCAAGTTTCCTCTGCCAGGCCTCTGGAAAGGCTTCCTCCTAGGCATGGCAGATGTTGTGTAAGACACTGCTAAGATAACCATCCAGGTCAGGTATTGCTAGGTGACATTCTGGCATACTCCCAGTGCCTTCTACCGTGCCTTGAGGCACTCAAAGGTGCACTTGTTGGTCACGTGGCAGCTTCTCAGTCAGTAGTTGAACAGTTTGTCTGACATCTAAGTGCCCTGTGTAAAGTTTGTGAGCCAGGAGAGGAGTAGGTATGCTGGGTCCCTGAGTAACAGTGTGGGGAACAGTCACTTCCTCACTGTGACACCAGTAGCCCTGTGAGCAAATTCTCCTGAGGTCATTAGGGGCACAAAGCTGGAGTTTCTAGACATCCTGGTATTGTGGTTGTTGCCCCACTAGCCGGTGGTAACACATGATGGAGAAGAAGCCCTTGTGGTTTACTTTGAGCTCTGGTTAGCAGCACCCAGAGCGTGCCATTGGCTCAACACAGTCCAGAAAGCCCATGTGGACAAATCCAGCGATGTCCTCCTGTGAATTCGCAAGGCAAAGCAACTGTGGTGGCCAGCCCTTTCTGGAATGCATGGCATACCTTCTGCACAGCTTCCCCTGCTGTGGACTTGCCCATGCCAAAATGGATTAGAGGCTGTTAATAGCCAGCTTTGAGATGGCAATGACCATGTGCTTCTCTGTGGTCATGCTGCTCTCATGCTGGTGGCCGATGACTAGTTCAGTACAGATTTCCACGAAGGTGGCACAGCTCATCTACACATTCTGTGGCCACTGCTCATTATCCCATGTCCCCAGGATGATGTGTTTGCACCAGATGCTGTTCAATTCCCCGAACCAGTAGTGGTGGTACATGGTTTGCAGGTGACCCTGCAGAAGGCCATCCTCTACACTGCCCTGTGTAGCTGCTTTTGGGCATGCTGGTGTCAATAGTGCAGGGAAAGTGGCACGTCTCAGGGAGAAGCCTTCCTAAGGCCTCAATCATGGTACCCTGCAGTGCCAAGTCATTGCATGCCAGCTAGCATATGAGCTGGAAGAGGATGCAGAGTATATTTAAGTAGGCCACAACTTTCCACCTCAAGCAGGACAGGAGGCACAGAACCATCAAATGCTGCCAAGAATTGCAGGGCAAGGAGATAGTAGTCATCCATTCCTGGCTCCCTAGGGTGACAGTGTATGGGATGGTATATGTGCCACAAGTGGCACAGGCAGCCTGTGTGCAACACATGACAGGGGCCAGAGCAGGGAACACGGTGACAGATAGGGCAGGGAGCAGAAAGCAGAGCAACAAATCAATTAGGGAGCACAGGGCAAGAAGCATAATAAAAAGCAACAGATTGGGCATGGGAAGGGGACTGGGGTGGCACTCAGGGAGGGAGCAGGGCTTAACTTGTGGCACACCTGCCAAAAGACTGACCCCCACTGATGTAAGCAATGGGCCCTCCTGAGAGGAACCTGATCATGTGGCAGCAAAGACCCAGACACTATGGTGTGTACACACGTGAGGGACAGGCAGTAGCTTCTCTTCTCTGCGCTCATCTGTCCTTCCCAACCTCCAGAGACTTGGTCTTGAAAGGTATGCTAGGACGTTTGCTCTCCTTCCCATAGCTGCACAGGTCTGCCATAGCAAGGCCTCATGGTCATTTTGAAGTGCTTCAGATGTGAGGGGCCTGTATGTCTGCAAGACACTGCAGCACTCTAACTCTGAACTGCTTCAGAAGGAAGCAGGTTTTGAAATGCTCCAAAAGGACATCTGTCCACATCACAACACAGGGGTGCTCAACATTCTGGCTCATGGGTTGAATTTGGCACCACAGAGCCATGGCATCTGGCCCATGGGTCTCCCTACGGGTTGGGAAATTTGGCGGCAGGGAAGCAGTAGTAATACTGCTGCTCTCTCCCACTTCCAAATTCCCAAGCCCCATGCAGGGAGTTGAAACCAGACCGTGCCCTCTTTCCCCACACAGCTAGATTGGGGCTAGGCCGTGTGTCCTTCTCCTGGCAGGGCCAGACCACATCCCCTTTCCACCGTGTGACAGGGTCAGGGCTGGGCCATGAGGTGAATGGGGATCTGTTGTGCCTGCTGTGGAGGCCAGATCAGGACCACCAACTGGATCTGGCCCACAAACACGCAGGGCATCCACCCATTCAGCCTACCGGCCAAAAAGGTTGAGCACCACTGTTCTAACACAATTAGACAGGTTTCAAAACAGCGTGTGCCAAGTATTCAGACAGAAAAATACAAAGCTCTCAGATAGGGGTTCCTGCCTAAATTCTTCATTTGGATGCTCAAATACAGACCTGAAGATTATCCGACAGAAGATTAAATAGAAAGCACTGAATGAAGGTAGTGGTGAGATTGCTTTTCTAAGAGTACTTACTTACTTTAGTGCAAATGCACTAAACAAATCATGTTTAAATATTTTGGAAATTCATGGCCTTGCATTTTACATGTGATTAATTTGTGCACTAAAAAAATCATTAAGCATTACCTCTTCCACATAGTCATGTCCAACAGGTTGTATATCAAGTAATACTCCAGAGCCATCCCCAGAGCTATCATGTTCATTTGGTAGCTCTGATTTCGGTTGTAACACCTTCGATTCCTCTAGTTTGATGCTTGTTGCCTGAATCTTATTAGTCCCTAAAAGAAGATAAGCAGATTAATAATCAACCTACTTCTTTACTACCTAGGAAGGTATCCTTATTATAACTCATATTACAAATGCATATAATTAATTTATCTTCATAACACTAAATGGCATTCTTGCACTGTTAGTCCTAATTATTTGTTACAATGGTAGCTGCTTATAGCAGTTAAAAATCTCACTGGGTGAGATTTACTGTTCATTTGCACATCACCATTAAGTTCCATATCTACAGTAATGTTTTAACATTATTAACTGCTACATAGGTGACAGCCTTTATTTATCAGCTATACATTCAGACTAACATAAAGGAGTTATACCATGAACATGAAGATTAGACATCTTTAAAGATAAGACAATTCTTATGGTAGCTATACTTTCAAGCAGATTTCTATCAATTTTAGCAATGACTTTCCATTCTGCAGTCATCTGAAGCTTGTAACTGCTCACAGAAGTAATGCAACTTAAAAGGGGCTCTTTAAGCATTAGGTTTTAAAAGACAAGTGAGAAAAAAACAACATTCCAGAATTATTTAGAAAGCCTGATGGTCAACTATTTTTTCCCTGGGCAGTTTTCCTAGGCAGTGATGGGAAAAAATATTAAAAGGTTTAATCTATTTGTATTTGAGGGAATTACACCTTTTAAACAAATTGTAAGTCCTGTATGATGCTACAAAGCTTAGATGATATCTAAAAACCCAAGAAGTTAAAAATGGAGTTTAAAACAACATACCTGTAAATGTTATCTTGGATGTGACTAGTTTCTTCACTGCCACTAGCTTGCCTGTGTTGCTTGCACTGTTAGTTGCTACAGCTGTTGGCTTCGTTGGTGCAACAGATACTGCTGTAGGGGCATGGGCAACTGGGTTACTTGCTGTGGTGATGGTAGGATCTGAACCAGAGTTCACTACTATAGGCTCTATTGAAGGGATGGGCTTTCCCAATTTAGTATGCAGCTTAACAACCTGAAATACATGTGGTAACTATATCAAAGGATAGAACTAGAAAGGGACAGAACTAGAAGTTAAACACAATACTATAAAAGTTTCCCTTGGAAAAATGTGTACATTTATAGGAAGAATGTAGCATAAGAGCAGCATATAATATGGTAATACAAAATTAGATTAAAAGACTTGTTCTGGGTACATCTACCCAGCAGAATGAAGATATAACTGTAGCATCTTCTATTTTACTCTAGCAAAAGCAGTGAAGTTATAGTGGAATGGGATTTATGAAGGGGTACCGCAAGAAAATATGGACAGAGAAGTCTTGGATTAGAAACCCAGCCACCAGTCAATACCATATTGCTGATCACATATATAATTAAAGGTTCTGAAAGAGGCCCTTCAATTCTGGCATTACTGTAGCAGCATGTTAGCTAGTGTTTAAGCAATCTGGTGGGATAGGCTTGTGTTCAAAACATTTCTAGACATCTAAAGTCAGCTCCTGCAGTCAGTCAAATCTTGAAATGGATAATCTATTTTGTACTTCAACTTTCTTCTCAGAAGTATTTTCCAAAGTATCTATCAGCTCCAATGACTTTTTTTAGAACATCAGCATCTTCCGTAATCAGATGTTTCACACCATCCACCTACATGAAATAGGTGAATCCAGTCCCATTGAACTATCCTACCTTTTGATGCTTGGCTCCTCGGATATGTGCTGCATATGCATCTGCTCCTGTACAGGACACATCACAGAGCTCACATCGAAGCTGCGTCTGCATGCCACGAGGGCCAGTGTTCACCTGGTTCCCTGATTTCTGAGCTGCCTCTTTCTTTTTGTGCTTTTGTCCTTCTAAGTGCTCCCGGTAAGTCTATAGTCAAAGAGGGAAATCCATTCTAAGCGGTGATGCAATACCAATAACTCCATTTCAAACTTTCCTTGGAATCAGTCTAGCTTTAAATGTAAGGGTACGTGCGACTCAAGTCATTTTGTAAGACATTCTATTAATTCCCTTGTATTTACAGCATCTGGAGATAATAGATACAGCATTTCCAGGCAGGAGATTCAACTGGATTCTTAGGAATACATAGGACAGAATTCTATTTCCATTTTTTGTGCATAATTAGCAGTTTTCTAGCTGCATAAGTGGCACTTTTGGTACTTAAGTGCAGGTTGTGATTTCATTACACCTGCAGTGAAGACATCTAAGCGCATGTAGACTGAACATGTGCAGTATGGTATGTATGAAAACATGGGAATCCTAAAAATTGGTGAAACCCATGAGTAGTGGGTGTTAGCTCCTATGGGACAGGGGTGGGCAAAATGCCGGATCCAGACAGCAGCCAGACTCCTTTTCCCAGCAGCCCCTGCCCACGTTGTTGTGACCGATTTCCATGGAGACTCCAGCAGCTGCAGGGCCATGACAATGCAGGGCCAGGGTTTCCATGGAGACTGGCCTCAGCAGCACTGGCTGGGTGGGGAGCTGCTGCAGGGTCAGGGCTGGGGTCTTGTGGTGGCGACAGTATGGTCTAGAGCTGGGACAGAGCCATGATCTGCTGCCTACACGCCCCTGCCCAGGGCATGCAGGCAGTGGATCACAGTTCTACCCTGGCTCCGGACCACACTGTCACCACTGCAAGATCCCAGCCCCTGGATTGGTTTTGCTATATTTGTATTGTTATAGGTTTATAAACATGTATCTCTTAAGAGTAAGGGTGCAGAGTAATTTGGGGGACAGCAGGGGCAATCCAAGTGATGCAAGGGACTCCTTCCTCCCCCTTCTGTTCAGCCTATACTGTGACTAGAGCCAGTGAGAAGGACGGACATGGAGAAGACTTGAATCCCCTAGCCACGGCCCTACTCACCAGCTTTCTAGCAGCAGATCTGAGCAGTGCACATTAGAGAGGGTATTAACCCTGAATGTGTAACTAACCACTAGCACTTGTTAACCTTAACACAGACTAACATTCCTTAGAATTAGCACCTGCTAACTCTAGCATGTAACCTCACCCTAATAACAGCTGTTATGTGATCCAGTACAGCAGCTCTTCCCACTCCATTTGAAACAATTCTAAGTACCTCATCTTACATTTGCATACAAGGAAGCCTCATGAAATACAATGGCTATCATTAAACTGCTGCCAAAGCAACACATGTTAAATAATGGAAACCAACTATGAAGCTGATTAAATGCTATATAATACATGGCCCATATTGGGTAAACATGGTGGTGGGAACCAGGGGTGTGTGAAGCAGGCCCTATTTGATTCGGATTCAGCCCGAATCAGGGACAGTGATTTGATTAGTTGATTCAGATCACTGTCCCTGATTCGATTCAGCTGAATCAGAATCTGAAGATTCGAGGTTGATTCAGAGAATCAGTGATTAGGACATAGACACAGCTTTAAATGTTTTTTATACATACCTTGAGGTAGCAGGCATGGCTTGTGAATGATGTGATGGTGGGGTGCATGGTGTCCCCCCACAGGAGTATGGGGGCCCACCATGTGCTTGGCGGCAAACCCGGAAGTGGACTGGAAGTAGCACCAGTCCACTTCCGGGTCTGCCAGGGAAGTGCGCTGGCCCACCCCCCCGCCCACACCTGCTGGGAACCCGGGTGCCCCCCAAGATCCAGGAGGCACCAGTCACCTGGAAGTGGACCGGAAGTGCTTCTGGTCCAATTCTGGGTCTGCTGCTGAGCGTGCTGGGGGGCCCCCCCGCGCTTCTGTGGCACATTCCATGTGCCCCAGCATCACAGCATTCACGAGCCCCTGCTACCTAGAGGTATATAGAAAAAACATTTAAAGTTGTGTCTATGTCCAAATCTTTCCGAATCAATTTGGAGGGTTCTGATTTGATTCGGACAGATTAAAGGGTCAGGTTCCGGAGGACTGGAAGAGGGCTAACATCATCCCAATCTTTAAGAAGGGGAGGAAGGAGGACCCGGGGAACTATAGACCAGTCAGCCTTACCTCTATCCCTGGGAAAATCCTAAAAAGTATCAAGAAACACATCTGTGGGCTAATTTGATGCGGAGCGGTAACCAACATGGGTTTTTAGCAGGCAGGTCCTGCCTGACTAACCTAGTTTCCTTTTATGACAGGGCCACCAATTGTTTAAATGCAGGAGTCGAGGTGGATGTTATCTATCTGGACTTCAAGAAGGCCTTTGACAAGGTATCTCATACCATCCTTATAAATAAACTGAGGGGATTTGCCTTGGATGATTAGACAGTAGACTGGGTAGCAAATTGGCTCAAGGCACACTCAGAGGGTGGTAGTGGATGGGTTGGTGTCAACCTGGAAAGATGTAGGCAGTGGAGTCCCTCAGGGCTCAGTTCTGGGGCTAGTGCTGTTCAACATCTTCATTAATGATCTGGATGAGGGGGTGGGAAGTACCCTGTCCAAATTCGTGGACAACACAAAATTATGGGGTGCAGCTAACACCCTGGAGAGGAGGAACCAG